ATGTTAAAAATTCTTCTTTGTTGTCTTCTTATGATAAATTTCTCTCAAGTTCAACTTTCCCAGACGGAAGTAAAGGAATCATATAAGTGAATGCGTTTGCCCATTTCGGGATGGGTGATTTACGAGCACACCGGCCCACACCGCACTGAGTGTCCCAGCAGCTTTGGACCCAAACAGCGTGGCGCCCGTGCCTCACCCTCCCTCTTCACCTGATCTGGCTCAGAGTGACCTTTTTGGTTTCCCCAGATGAAAAGAGTTATCACAGGGAAGCATTCTGCCAATGTGGAAGAGGTGAAACAAAAAATGGCAGAAGCATTAAAAGGCATCAAAATGGATGAGTTTGAAAACTGTTTTGAGTGGTGGGAAGAGGGTCTCGATGGGTGCCCAGCATCAAACAGAGAGGACTTTGAACAGAGTCACTTTGAAGGTGACTGATTTTTAAACATGGAAGAAGACATTTTTAAAAATAAACTTGGGTTCTCCCCTCAAATATATGCATGTATGTGTGTGTTTCTCTATTTCTCTGAATTCATATTTCTCCCTAAACATATATATGTGTGTGTGTGTCCAAAAAAACTATGATTCTTTAAAGTACCAATAATTTTTAAATTGCTATTTACAAAGTCTAGAAGTAAAATAGAGACAAAATTGAAAAGGGGGAAGGGTGGTGGTTCGAATTATGTTGTTGGAAGATTTTTTACACTACTCATGAAGGAGTACAGTCTAAATTTTTTTTTATTTTCCAGAGGCAAGATTTCTCTCTGCCGCTCAGGCGGGAGGGCACTGGCACGCTCACAGCGCACCGCAGCCTCAAACTCGAGCTCAGGCGGTCCTCCCGCCTCAGTCTCCCCGGTAGCTGGCGCTGCAGGCACGTGCCACTGAGCCCGGCAGATTTTTTTTTTTAAGAGAGAGGAGGTTGCCAAAGATGCACATTTTGACCTCTGGAGCAACCACTAAAATATGACGTGCAAAAAATCAGTAGAGGAAATGCAGTTGCATCCCAAGATGCCTTAGTTCACATCAGCAGGGAGAAAGGTACGGAGAAGCAAAGCAGTTTCTGCAGGTCACCTGGCAGAGGAGGAAAGAGCAGAAGAGGCTCTCTCCAAGCAGAAAATGCAGAGAGAAGCGTGGAGGAGGTAAGCCCTCAGCATTGCTCACTGCGGTGCCCACCAGAGGACTCAGTACTCAAGTGTGAAGGGCCCTACGGAGCAGGCGCAAGCAAGGCCAGTGTATGTGGCTTACAGGAAACACGCTTAGCGCAAGGACGCCAAGAGCAACAGGGAAGGGACGTAAGAGATGCCTCATGCACTCGGCACTGGAAGCCATGTGGCTTCAGCAGGGCCAGGCAGAGTAGAATGAAAGGCAGAGGGCTAGGGAAAGGGGGTCCGTGTCCCAGCAGAATCCACCAGTCCTTTGTGTGTTAACATGGATGAAGCGTGTCCCTCTGACCCATAGGCTGTGTCCTGGCTTGAGGTCTCCCTGTACTCTCCATGTTAACATGTATGACACATGTCCCACACTCTCCGTGTCAACAGTGTAGCTCCCTGTTTCACGTGAGGCGAGTCCGTGCTCCATGCTTTCTCCCCGCGTGCCCACATGTGACTCCAGCCCCCCACTCGGGTCCCGCTGGACTCAGGCACTGTGCGTCGTCCTGTCAGGCCCCAACTATGCCCTGACAGCCGAGTCCCCAGAGGTCCCCACAGCTGCCCGGCCCAGCCCGCCCCGCCCCTCTATGTGGCTTTGACGCGTGTTCTCTGGGTCCTGGGACACGGTTAGCCCCAGAGGAAACGCCACCTCCTTAGGACGACGCTGAGGGGAGCGCCGAGTGGGCGCGAGCTGAGGGTGGGCGCCTCCGACACTGGGCGGCCGGCGCAGAGGTCACCACGGAGACGCTGCCCGTGGCCTGCAGCCAGAGCTCCCCTCGTGTCCTCAGCCACAGGGTGGGGCGGCTTCTCCTTCCAGCAGGTGGGCCCTGCACCCGTGGGAGCAGACGTGGAAGCCCACGGGGTGCTCGGCCTGGGGGTCCCACAGTGGCCCGACCCCATCCTGATGGCGGAGCCCATCCTTCAGTGGGATGGGGCCTTGACGGGAGCCGGACACGCTGTGGGGCAGAACTGTGGCCACAGGTCCCCCGTGTCCCCGGGGGAGAAGACAGTGGCCAGCCACAAGAGGGGGGCCGGGCCAAGCCCGCCGTGACACCGTCCCCACCGTGGGCAGTCGCTGTGCGGGGTTCCCCCATATCTCATTATGCCCTGAGACCCGGAGTAAAGGCAGAAACGTCCAAGTTCATGCCTCTCGCTCTTGCTGGGGAGTAGCCTCCAGGCCGGCCAGCCGCGTTTCCACCCCGTGCCCTCAGCTTTCCCCAGGGCAGGCCGTGTCGCGGGGGGCAGGATCCTTGTGTGATTCGCTTCGGCCCCTCCCCCTCCCGGCAGCCCGGCAGCGTAGGGCGTGTTTCTGCCAACCAGCCCCTGGGGAGGGGCCCGCGCTCGGGTGGGCCCTCAGGTGCTGGCTGGCCAGGCAGGGGCCTGGGCACGGGAGGAGGGCGGTCTGGAAGCCACGTAGGCCGGCAGTCCACCCCGACGGGGTCCGGACCACGCCATCCAGGACGCCCCGGTCACGAGAGAAGCTGTGTGCATCCGGCCCCCGGCGTCCCCAGGCCAGGCACCCCGTGCAGGTCACCCCCGCACGGACAGCCTCTCTGGCTGGGCCGGTAGGGGCTTGGGTGCCTGGTGGCACATCTGCCCGACAGGGGCGACTGGGCCCCTTTGCCTCTGAATGGACCCCCGCCCAAGGGTGTCAGGCTCGGAGGTACCTGCAGCCATGCCTGGTCCTCGTTCTGGCAGCTGCCATGCACAGCTGCCTGCTGCAGAGGCCACCACGACCCACAAGTCCAGGGCAGCGACGCCCCGGTTCCAGGAAAGGTTCCAGGCATAAGAGGAGCCTCGGGGCGGCTGTGGCCAAGGGGATGCACCCACACCGTGGTGCCTTCGGGACAGGGGTGGGGCTGCAACCCCCAAGCTGGTGTCTGTGCCGGACCCCTCCTCCGGGCAGGCCTCCGCGCCGGGCCGTGACCGTGGAGAAGGCCTCACGTGGAGAAGACAGCATTCCGAGTCCTTCCCTGTGGTTTCAGCTATGCCCACAGCATGACCCCAGGAAGGGCCTCAGCTCAGACACCGCTCTCCGCTCACCCGCAAGCAGCAGCAGCTCCTCATCGTTCAAGCTCCACCCTGAGGCCGCTGCAGCTCCGCCCACCCTCAGGCGCCCCTGCTGACCCCAGCTCTCTTTCAGCACAGCTGCAGTCTCTTCCTCTGCTGAGGTCCTGAACCCCAAGAGTCGTCCTGGAGGGCCGGAATCAACTTCTTCCAAACTCTTGGTCCTCTGGATATTGTGACCTCTCCTGGGTCACAACTGTCCTGAAGCCATCCAGAATGGTGAATCCTCTCCAGAAAGTTTCAGTGGACGTTGCCCAGATCTATCAGAGGAGCCACTTTCAATGGCAGCGACAGCCTTCCAGGAAGAACAGCAACAGGAGAGGCTCATCCTCCCTTGGATGGAAGTGTTTAAACCAGACGGGAGCCACCACCGCAGCCTGTGCCTGCCTGGACCATGTTCTGAACGCACAGCCTCAGCCATCGGCACAGCACGAGACAGCAGGCTCCTGCAGACGCGACACGACTTGGGTCTGGCCGTGATTCTTTGATAAAAGTGCTCTTTTCCTAACCAGTGGGACCATCAACTCGGCTGCGCCCCGCTGCCCTGCACTGTGATGTCTGGAGGCATCTTTTCCCGCATGGAAATCATGACACCATCACACTGCTGGTGGCCCAAGCAAGGAAAGGCAGGGACAGTCCCCTCCCTGATGAGCCTACGAACCCGCAGGACGTGAGGGCGACAGCCCTTACGGCGAGGACAGCTGTGCCTTTCACTGTGGTCCCGCGCTTCCTCGGTGGGAGGTGTCCTTGGGGTCGGAGGGGCCAGGCGTGGCTTGAGGGCCCAGGCAGAAGAGCAGGCAGCATTTAGTAAGTGCCCACTGAGAGCCACGGGCCATGCAGGCAGCATCTCTTAAGGCTTACACCAAGCCCAAAGGGTGAGTGTGGTGTTTTCAGGGTGAAGACGCGCCCTCCCGGGCCTGGTGGCCACCCCTACCACATTCCCCCTTTCCCCACACCCCCAGCTCAGAGCCCTCGGTCACTGGTGCCCTGGCTCTGCTGGATTTTGAGACCCTGGCTCCCTGATGGGCCGGGCATCGTCCATAGTGATGGCCAAGGGGTGGGGCCATCCCCTCCCCACCTCACCCACAGGTGTCCAAGCCCTCCCCTCCCCACCTCACCCACAGGTGCCCTCCCAGGGCCACTGGGCTCAGATTGGGAGGGCACCGTCAGATGCACCTCCACAGTCTGCCAACCCGACCTCACTGCTGACGATGCCAGACACAACTGGAGCTTCAATCCCCAAACCCAGGGCAGCATTTTTCACCTGGCCTCTCCTGAGGGTTGATCCCTGGAGCCATGCTGCATGGTCAGCACCTGGGAATTTCTCTTGATGACAGTGCATCGGGACCCCTGAGAAGCCTGCAGTAGAGAAAGCTTCAAAATCCTGATTTTGTGAATGGTGAAGCTAAAATTAAATCAACAGCCTATGAATTCTCGATCCTCCCATGGATTCATGTCTGCCCTGCCAGGATTCCGGACTGACCCTGTAGTCATGACGGACGTCACACCTAGGGCCGGGCCTGGCTCTCACATAACTACAGACGCGTCCCAGGACCGTCGAGTGGGCTGTTCCCTCTGCTTCTGCTGTGAAGTCGCACGCGGTCTAACCTCTTGGCTTCAGGGATTAAATAACTCAAACACGGTAGCATATTAACCCAAATCCTACCAACTCCCGCCCCCAAACCTGGCAGGCAAACTGTGTCTTCACAGACGATTCAGGAAATAGCCAAGGCATCTGAAAGATAATTGCTTTTAATTTTCTGAGTTTTCACTTATATGACATAATAAAGGCAGATTTATGTGACCTGATAATGACATTTTTACAAAAAAACAGTCCCCCCAAGCATCTGGTCAATAGAATATAAATATTTACAATGAAAAAATAGGCAAGGAAGAGGAATCATCCTCCAGGTCAGTTTCTCTCCAGTGCTCCTCAGACTTGGACATAACTACCCGTCGGCCCCCTGGCTGTCACGTCACACCCACCCTGCATCACTGACGGCCGGGACACGTGGGCTCACTGCAGATGGACATTTTTGTTCTCTGTCACTCCTATGCTTTTTCTATGCTATTTTGAAAGTTATCTGAAATAGGAAATTAAATATAAAAATGTAAACTTTGAAAGAAGAGAAAATAGGAATAAATATGGGTAAAGGCAACGAATGCATAAGATACAAAGGCTCTGAGTTAATATTCCACAACACTAACAACAAAATAAAATGCTCTCTATATTTTCTTCGCATGGACATTGTGTTTCCATTTAATTATGTATTATGTTAACAAAAATTGCCTCTAAAGAGGATGTTAAAAAAATAGCAATGACATTACCCATCCTTACTGATGAATATACCATTACCCTAATTTTCTCTAAAACAAACTGATTTTTTTTAAAGTGACCAATATAAATTATAACACGGAGAGCTTAAGATTAAGAAGCCTCAGTAGTGACGGCTTCTTAAACTACAAAGACTTGAGAGGTCAGTGTGAACAGGGCAGCCGGCCCGCTCAACTGGGTGGGTTGCAACACACTGGACTGCGCGGCACGGAAACACGACGAGGACTCTCCCACAGGCCACGCCGCTGACACGGAAGCCCTCGTGGGCGGGAGTGGTGGACACTGCGGCCCGCCAGGAGCCTCGAGCACGGATGAATGTCCACGTCCGGTGACGCGGCGGGCGGCCCCTGCAGACCCGCAGCCTCAGGTGTGGGAGCTGCGCCGCCCTCGGGTGCCCAGGGACACGCGGAGCCGTGGCTCCCGGGCTTTGTAATGTTCGTTGAAGTCCAGCCTGAAGCTGAGAAACCGAAGGCTCTCGTCGGAGCTGGTCGTCAGCAACACCAGGAACTGCTGCACGATGCCCTGGCAAGAGCGAGAAGAGTCACGTTCACTTCGGCAAGAGCCGCCCTCAGACGTGTCCCCACCCTGGATCCCGGGGAGTCTGATTCCTCCCCGAGCAGCAAGGCTTTCACAGACGGGGGCCCCCACCCGGGCAGGTGTGCCAGTGCCAGGAGCGGCCGGGACCCAGGGCTACACGGCCGGCACCCTCGCGCTGGGAAGGGCGACCCTGACCTGTCCAAGTGAGCAGCGCAGGCGTTCTCCTCGGAAGCCGCTGACCCGCAGATGTTGCTCCTGCCCTGAGTTCCCCAGGAACAAGCAGCGAGCACAGCGACGGGGGCTGCGCGCTCTAGTCTTCCTATTTGGGATGCAAACCCCCCTCAGGCTGCACGCTTCGCCTTAATGGGATTTATGGAGGAGCATTTGACCCTGAAACCCAGACTGGAGACAAGTTGAGGATCCAGGGCATGAGAGAGTCATGCTCTTGACCATGACCTTGAGGCCCCAATGTTGTGGGCACAGCCACAGCTGCCTCTTGACAGCGACGCGTCACCACTCTCCTCTCACCACAGGGTCTTGTAATGGGGCACAGGAGTCTACTTCAAGTCCACTAAGATGAGGACCAACTGCTGCTACTCAGAGTAGGCAGAGGCTCCCAGTACGCACAGATCCACCCCTGCCGGGGCCACCCACTGCCTGCAGAGTCAGCAGTTCAAGGCAACAGCCGGCCACGACGCCCTTCCTGGTGGCCTTGGGAAAGCTCTCACCCACACAGAAAAGTCACAGGGCACCACATCCCTGCCAGACCTGTCCCAAGCCTCCCCAGCGCCATCTTCCTCTCTGGTTTCCAGCATGCCAGTGCTCACAGGCGGGCCCACGGAAGTGGCCTACCCTGGGTGGGCAATTTGTGTGTGTGAGCACTATTCTCTTTCTAGGGACAGGAGAAGAAAGGCCCAGTGAATCCTCCTGCCAAAATACAGACAGTGACTCCCTGTTGTGTGGTGAAACTGACTGAAGGCACCCAAGGGCGTGTTGTGCACAGGCCGGAGGCCCGGATATGTATCCGAGACCTCCAACACGCTATGGAGGACAGAAAGGACTTCTGCTGTTATAGACATGAGCACTGGTGGGGATGGTTTACAAGGAAGACTAGGCTGTAGTCTGCGTAAAACTGGGATTGTCCTGATTAGGACTGCTTTTTAAAAATGTGCTAACTCTACCAGAAAGTGTGTGGCCATTGACCAGAACGTTATGATCTCGCTGAGAAATGAGCACAGACTTCTAAAGTTACCCTCGCTCCTTCATAGCTGTGCAGTCATCGCCTTTCGTTATTTTAGTGTGGTGCTAACCCTCTGATTTTAAGAGATATGAATGCATACTGCATAGAACATGAGTTCAAGGAGGCATCTCGCATGAAGATGCCATTCCAAAGACACGTCTGCGCACCAGGCATGACCCCTGGTTGCCACCACCTTCTATGAGGCTTCAAAGATGCAAGGGTGGGCCAAGGTGAGGGTGAGACCCCCGTAAAAGGGGCAGCTTTCCTCTTTAGTTACCCTGAAGGACGCGTGAAGTGGAAAGCACGGGGACCCCTGGAAGGCAAGCTGGACGTCACGGGGCAGGACGGGACTCCACCAGCACACAGAGCACAGTCTCTAGGGTCTGGGGGTCACGGCTTGGAATGTTTCTCTCATCAGCTACCAGCATCCAAGAAGGAAAGTTCTTGGCCATCTCCCACCTTCGTTTCCACCCTAAAGCCACACTGAGGAGCGGGAACAGAAGCAGGACGCCTGGGCGCGCAGGGCAGCCCTCCTTGGCGCTTCTCCCAGGGTGTCTGCAGCAGGGCCGGCCTGGGCATCCCAGGAAGGCACCTTAGAGGGCTGTAGACAGCCCAGGCCCCTCTGCTTCACAGGCCAATGTCGGCCCCACCCTCGGCCGAGCTCCCATCCAGGCTGCAACCTGTCGGCCAGGAGCCAAGGAGACCGAGTGCCTGGGAGGTCACAGGGTCCCCAGGGGGCCCAACATGACACGGAGGAGGTCCCGCCACAGGGGCTATCGTGTCCACACTAGTAGGTGCCAAGTGTGCCGGGCCGACACACCTCTCGTGACCGGCAAGCAACAGCCAGTTTCAGAAAGCGGCAGGAGGCCCGCACGGCCACTCTGCACCCTCCCACGTACCTGGTAGAAATGCGTCAATATCCGCAGCTGGGAGCACATTTTGGGGATCGACTCCCGAAACTCTCGGATCCTCTTCTCCTCCTCCTCTTCCTCCGCAGCCGTCACGCCCCACTGGCCCTGAGGAACCAAAGTACGGACGGAATTAGGTCACAAGGCAAGAGTCAGCCGGGACGCGGGTGGGGAGGAGATTGCCACTGCCCTCCGTGCTGTCCAGCGTGACCGTGACAACCTGCCTGGATTCCTAGGAACATTCGAGCACACAGAACTGTCTCTCTGTTTTTAACGGTCGTCACGCTGTATGACAGGTGACAAGCAGCACACAGGGGCAGAGCGGAGCCTGAGGCCTGCGGGCTGGCCCGAAGTAACCCTGTACTGACTGGAAAGAGAACATTCCTCACAGCCAGCCGGGCAGCCCTGCGACACCGCCTCTTGCGCTGTGTGCAGGCTTTCTCCGTCAGGGGTGCGGCTGACGGCCTGCCTTCTTCACCAGCACGTCTGGAACCCTTGTTTATAAAGCAAGCTGAACGATGACACTGCCCCTCCTGAATAAATCCCACACATGGTCAGTGATGCTTTTAAGCCCAGCTAGGTGCTTTCCCCTCATATTCCCTACCCATTCTCCACCAGTGTTTGTAACCCAGATTGGCTTTCTCTTTTAGCTTGGGCAGTAATGATCGCTGCTCTCCTTCCTTCGCCATCCTGCTTTAGAATACAGATGTGTATGTCATTAACACCTGCAAACACATTACACCTGTTTGGCATCACTTATGAGCTTTAAGCAGTATCTCCTCGCCTGGCTATGAAAGACAGAGAAGTCCCAGTGTTTAGAACAGTTCCCACCTCCTTCCCCGCCAACCTTGTCGTTTATTTCTTTAAACAAAGTTTTACATGCACTTTTCACTGTAGCATATCATATAACAACCTCAAGTGCTTAGTGTGATGAATCACAAGGTGAACACACCCATCACCATGATGCAGTGAATGAGCACATTCCTGGCACCAGAAAATGCTCGCACGGCCTCTCCCAGACATACTCCCGCACCCAGGAACACCAGCTGCTGCAGACAGTAAACACAAAGAGCGGAGGCACTCCTGGGGGCGGCGTCCATCCCCGGCCACCACAGTGACGCCAGGCTCCTGCCCCTCTTCCCCCCAGTGGTGTGGAGGTTTGTTCACATCCTCATAACAGTGGTTCTGTCTTTACAAAGTCTGTCGCTCTGCTGGGGTATAATGTGCCACTGGGTTTTTAGTCTGGACCACCTGCTAACTGAGGAGGCAGTTGTTCCTGAAGTCAAGATACATTTTTAATGGGGCCATTTCCGCACTGGGGGTCCCCGCCTCCACGGCACCAGGCCCTCTCCGGCTCCAGCTGCCTCCGCACAGCCCTGAGGTCTCCAACAGACGTGACAATGGCACCGTGAGAACCCACCCTTTGCTTGCTCTGCGGCTAAGACTTTCTATACCATTTAAGGGAAGGGTCCCGGCCTCAGGGTCGTGAAGGCACTGCTCGCCCTGCCTTCCACCCTCCATCTGAATCTCCCTGGTGCTGATCTGTGTGTTGGGGGCACAGGGTCCAGGCCGCGTCACCTAAGCCCGCCCCCGGCCTCAGGGCGCCCTGCTCCGAGACCCCCTCCCCTTCTGCCTTAGCCCCCTTGCGCCAACCCCGCTCTGAGCGCCGTGGCTTTACGACAGTCGGCCCCTCGGTGACACGCACGCCCTGCTGGTTCTTTCAACAGCCCCTGCTGCTCTGGACCTTAGGTGTTTCCACCACAAGACTTTCGGATCAGCTTCTCCATCTCTACCACAAAGCCGCTTTTGAGATGAGAACTGGGCCTGCACGGAATCCAAGCCTCAACTCCTCAGGCCCCGTCAACTACACCGAGGATCCAAGTAAGGCCCCAAGGACGCCTTCCTGCAGGGTCAGCACCCTGTCTTGCCGGGGCCAGGATGTGAACATTCAAGGCCATGAGCCACGTGGCCTCTGTCACAGCTGCTCACATCGGCCCAGGCCACACATCCGCAGACAGGCAGGCTGTCCCGACAGGCTTGGTTCCAGAAGCAGCCCTCGTGAGGCTGACCTGGCTCGTGTGCTCCGCCCTGGTACAAAGGCTTTCATGCACTACGCTATGTGGTGGTGCCCTTTGGATGGCACTGCTGTCAAAATTTCATTTCATTTCTTGCTCAGAGTTTTGCAGAACGACCTTGCTTCCAGTTACCTTGGGTATGTTCACCTCTCAATTCCCATCATTTATCTGAAGACTTTTGGATTTTCCATGTCCACAACCATGACTTTTGGGAGAAAGAAAAGAGAGCTTTCTTTCTTTCCCTTAGTACTTCGTCTTGGCTTGTGATGCTGCCTGGACTATCGGTGCAGAAGTCGTGTGTCTCACTCTCTCTCAGGGAATGCTTTCATGTCTCAACACTGATGATGATCTTTCATACACACCTTCTTACCAGGTTTCACCTGGTATTGAGTGGTTTTCTCCATCTATGGAGATAGTCATATAATTTTTCTCCTTTGGTCTGTAAGGGTGAATTACAACATTTTACTAGAATAAGAAAGGCACACTGGATCACAGACAAGCCCACACTTGTCTGACACATCCCAGCCTGGCAACACCCCAGAACATACCCAGGCACACAGTGCCAACAACAACAGAAGCCAGACATGCTAAATGCTTTGTTTTGTAACTCTGACTCGGGAATCAGGTCAATAGTGTTCATAATTACATTCAATTTTGTTTTGTAAATAAAAGGAATCCCTAAAAATGAAAAGCCAAATGGAACCAATTAATCTAACTGTGCACTGGGTTGGTGGCATAACCTTATGGGAGTAATTATTTCCAGGGACCCTCTCACATGGAATTTGAAAGCACTTACCTCCCGGGATAGATCCCAAGGGAAAAAAACAATGCAAAAAAAGGAAAGCTAATCAAAGCCACGCTGTTCCTATATTGGCAGTGGCAGCGTCAGGGCTCTCGCCCCCAGACAGGTGAGTGCCCAATGTGTGCAGGGATGTAGGTGTCATGAGACGGCAAGTAACCAAGATCTTCAACACTTCAGAAGCAGCAAAGAAGAGAAGCAAGGGTCTTTGGTCCTAACCTGAATGGGCAGCGCAGGATGTAGAGAAAACAGGAAGGAATGGAGTCAGGAGCAGGACACAGACAGGTCTTTGGGGCACCTCGCCCAGTGGGTGTGAGCAGAAAGCAGGACGGCCGGGAGCCTGCAGGTGGACTGGCCTGCGCCGCAGCCCACCCACAGATGGTATGCGGGTCGCCTGCACAAGCTGCAGCATTTAGGCGAACCACAGCTCTAAATGACAGGTTCGAAAGGATTCTAGAAGCCTGTGGAATCCAAAGGATGTCTCAGACCTAGCTGCAGCCTTCATACCTCTTCCTGCATCCCACGCCTCTCTGAATAGAACACCTGGGGCAAACCTGGGCTCCTCACGCAGGTCTGTCCCGCCTCGCCACTGACAGCCAACGGTCTGGGGCAGCCTTCGACGCCCACATGGTGGAGGCAGCTGGTAGCAGAGTTGCAGGCCTACACTGGTTATTGATTTGCACACTACAGGACAGCACAGGACTAACTCTGCAGGAGGGCAGACTCTCAGGGCTCGTGAGCAGCTTTCGGAAAAAGAGCAGTGGCCAGCATAGACTGAATACTGAGATCAGTAACCGACAAGGGTCTCACATGTGGCAAATGAGTTAACTCCCTGAGGCCACATGTCTTGGCATGGCTAGTTTACACATAAAACACTGTGTCCCATAAGCTACAGAGCTAGGCTAAACCCAAGTCGGCCTGACATTGGTCCGTTCACAGGACTGCACGAGGCCGGGCCCAGGAGGTCCAGTGTAAGCAAACGCTACAACAGTGGGAATTACCAAACCACACCTCGACCTTGAGATACTATAAAGACCAACTTCGACCTTGTGATACTATAAAGACCGACCTGGACCTCATGATGCTATAAAACCAACCTCGACCTGAAAACGCTATGAGACCGACCTCGAGATGCTATGAAGACCGACCTTGACTTCAAGATGCTATGAAGACCAAACTTGACCTCGTGATACTATAAATACTGACCACAACACTATAAAGACCGACCTTGACCTCGAGATACTATAAAGACCAACCTCAACCTTGAGAAACTATAAAGACCAACTTCAACCTCGAGATACTATGTACGACCAACCACGAGATGTTATGTAGACCCACCTCAACCTCGAGACACTATGAAGACAGAACTCGATCTCAAGATGCAATAGACCGACCTTGACCTCATGATACTATAAAGACTGACCTCGGCCACGAGATGCTATAAACATCAACCTTGACCTCAAAAAAGACCAACCACGACCTCAAGATGCCAAAAAGACCAACCTCGACCTCGAGCTCCTCAAAAGACTGACCTTGACCTTGAGAAAGACCAACCTCAACCTCATGATACTATAAAGACCGACCTCGTCCTTGAGATGCTATAAAGACTGATGACCTTGACCTCGAGAAAGACCAACCTGGACCTCAAGATGCTATAAAGACCAACCTCGACCTTGACACACTATGAGGATCGACCTCAACCTTGAGATGCTATGAGGACCAACCTCGGCCTCGAGACACTAAGAGGTCTGACCTCAACCTGGAGATGCTATGAGGATCGACCTTGACCTCGAGTAGCTATAAAGACAGACCTTAACCTCGAGATGCTATAAAGAACAACCACGACCTCATAATGCTATAAATACAGACCTTGACTTTGAGAAAGACCAACCTCAATCTCAAAATGCTATAAAGACCAACCTCACCCTCAAATGCTTAAAAGACCGACCTTGATTTTGAGATACTATAAAGGCTGACCTCAACCTCGAGATACTATAAATACCAACCTCGACTTCATGATACTATAAAAACCAACCTGGACCTAGAGATACTATCAAGACCAACCTCGATCCTGTGATGCTATGAGGACCAACCTCCGACTCAAATGCTGTCAGGACCGACCTTGACCTCAAGACGCTAAGAGGACCAACCTCAGTCTCGAAATACAATAAAGACCAACCTCGACCTCATGATACTGTAAAGACCAACCTCGACCTCGAGATGCTGTAAAGACC